GGTTGTTTCTGTTCAAAATTTTTCTAAGTTTTTGGGTTCCCAAGAAACTACATACAGCAGCTTAAAGATAAAATATACATCTGCAAATTTTTGAAAAAAGCCCAAATTTATTAGACTTATCTAAATTTGCAACAAAGCAGGGGTGCCTAATCATGGTCCTTGAGGGACACCATCCTGCRTGTTTTAGAGGTTTCTCAGCTCAAAAATATCTGGCATGTGATTAACAGGCTTGTGCAGAACTTGAAGAAGYAATTYAGTCAYTGAATCAAGTRTTGGAGCAGAGAAACAAAACATGCATTATAGTGGCCCCTCCAGGACCAGGATTTGGGACCCCTGAAATAAATCCTTTGAAGAAATACAGTAAATACAAATGGTTACAGAAGGATTAATCTGACCAATAAATAAATGAAGTCTTATCCATCAGATCAGTGGTTCCCAAGCTATTTGTACTGAGCCCCCTTTAGTTTATAATAACATTTTTTTATGCATACACAAGGAGAAGATGCAAACTCCTCAGAAAACCCCCCAGGTTGGGGTCAGAAACAAAAAATCGATGACGCCGAGAGAATTTTTGGAAGACAAAAGAGTTTACCAAGACAAAATATTTACACCTGCTTCTAACTGATGTGTGTCATCTATTTATTTTTTCTATTGGTTCTCACTCATGTCTCACCTCCCACGTGGAAGCTCCCCCTCCTCTCGTCTCCATCTGACAGTGGGCGCAGGATCGCCATGGACCTCGCACAGGAAGTCCACCGTCTCTTCCTCCATGACCACCTGGTTCACMGGCCTCCGTACCAACACGGGACGCTCTACGGGTGGGCAAATAAGGACTTYACGGATTTCTGCTTTTCTGTTTCTGAAAGCTGSTTGGATTTTAAATATGTGCAKCTCACCGTAGACCACCAGCTCTGCMGGATCGCTGTCCCTCTCTCCGACCATGTTGGTGCCAACACAGACATACATTCCAGCGTCGCTTTTTCTGGTTGGAGAGATCATCAGTTTGCCGCCACGCATCTTAAAATCAAAACAAAAAAAATATTAGCTCACTTTGGTGCCCCAAARTAAAAGCTTGTAATGGAAAAATCCAAATTCCCTGTTTTTTTCTCCATTCTTATAAATGAGCAACAAAGAATGGATTTTTTTCTTTAATCAACAGTTTCATCACTTTTCCTTCTATAAGAGCTGTCATCATCTTCGTCTCGTCTCTTCCAACATTTCTAACTGTTCAACAATCACACATCCGGCTCTTGGTTTTACACATGAGAGGGCACAGCGACRCCGAGAATACAGACATTTTTCCGGCCCACAGCGTCCCAAGATCTCCACACAGAATTACAGTCTTTTGAAACGAGTCAAAGTCAGTTTAAATGAGTACCTCGCCCTCGTGTGTCACAGATTCCTCCTTGACTTTTGAAAGTCAGAGCAAGTATTTGAATAAGCCTCGAGGAAAAACAAATCTTTTCACTATAAAAGTAGCTGCTTCACTTAATTGTAACATTTGGTCATGAATAAAAAAATATTAAAATGTGTTTAACAAAGCTTATAAAAAGAGTATCTTAGTTACAAATCAGAATCTAAACATCCAAAAGCATTTATGTCCTTTTTCTCAGTATTAAATGTAGTTACAGCTTACATTTTATTTTAATCTGATATGTTACCGAGTGCAAAAAACTGAAATATTTCTCAGGAAATGCCATATTTCCTGACCTATCTGTGGATATAAATGAACTTACTGATGCAGTTAGAAAGCATCAAAGACTCTGTAGTGGGAGAAGATATAAACAACAGCAAAAACAGAAAAATACGTAGAAACTACTCATGTGATATTTTCACAATAATTACACAAGGAGCCATTTTAACATCAGCAATGTACTTCAAATCAATGGTAAGCTGCCACAATGGATATAAATCTGAATAAAATTGTGCCTAAAAGTGCAAATTTCATAAAACTGGTCAATAACTGATTTAAATATATATAATGACTGTAGATTTTTCCTTTTTTTTATTATTAATTTTTATCAGAATTAAGCTGTCCAGACATATTGTTATTGGTTTTTACTTGTATTTAATTCAATACAATCCAAGATTTATCTTTACTGTTTGAAAATACTTTATTTTTCTTTRCATTTGATGGTAGCCAAGTGTTTAATACCCAGATTAAATCAACCAACAGAACAATCTGCTAAGTTTGGTTTTCAGAAACTACAACAAATGAAAATTTTGCACATCACTTTATGAATTTCAGAAAATGTTGTAATAATGATGAATTTAATTTGTAGCGCATTTTTCATTAGCAAAAACCTCAAAGTGCTACAAAACAACAAAACACAAAGTAAATGATAAAACTGCAACATCCAAAAACAAAAGAAGAATTAAATTAAACTAATAAAAACAACAAACAGAGCTGGAAAATGGCTCGTTTTTAAGCCCTGATAAAATGCCTTAAATCAATTCTGCCTTCAAACTGTGCCAGAATAGATTAGCTTAAAAAGAAAAACCATTTGGCCTTTTTTAAATGTTAAAATTTTAAATGTTTGTCCTACTGATTACTTTTATAAATGTTTGACCCTCCACTGCATTAAAACATAAAAAGCTGTTTAATAAAAGTGCCACAAATATACGAACGTTGGACCTAAAAGTGCAAATCGCTCAAAGAATGTCAAAAGAAAACCCYARTTTTTTTATTTAAAAAAATGAAGCTTTTGCTGCAACAAAACCTAAAGCTCAGCACAAGAAGATGAAGGAAAACCRGACATGGTATAAAAACAACAAGGCTAGACTGAGCACAGAGAGAGGACTGAAGGGATAGACAGTCTGAGGTTAATGAGAGAATAGGCTGCAGCTGTGGCAACAAATATACAACCACAGAAAACAAAATACCATCAAGAATGAACCAAAAGCACAGGTTCTTTTGAAAAAAAAGAGTAATATTTCCTAATTGTTAAAACAGAGTGTGGTTTGCTCTGTGTTTGTGCAGAACTCACAGAGACGCGCTCATCTTTGGTGCTGACTCGGACGTTGTTGCGTTTCCAGAACACGGAGGGCTCGGGGTGACCACGGGGTGGGATGCACTCCAGCACCGCGGGCTCTCCAGCAGCCACCACCACGTCACTGGGCGCCTGCCGGAAATCATCTCTCAGGACTGGAGAAGGGGGAAAAAAGACAACCAAACCTAATTAGCTGCAGGGCTCCTGTTTGCACYGATGAGTTTTTAAATCAAAGATCGTATCACAACCGGTAACAGCAAGCATCACCGACTTGTCTTACAAGTAACCAAGACTCTTTTATTTCTCCTGGTTGAACTCTTCTTGTTAAAAAGTGATAGAAAGTTCATTATCATCCTTGCACGCTGCTCAAATCCCCATCTTTGATAGACTGTTCAGGATTTAATGTCCTGCTCTTCTGTGTCTGCTGTCAGAGCAGATGAATAATACACTCCTCTCAGTTCAACATGCAGTAAACAAATAATAGCACATTTATAATTTAGCCCCTGTGTGTGCGAGAGAGAAAACATTACCCCTGCCATGAAGAAAGGATTGTGTCCCTGATTTAATTTGCTGTCTTACAAATGTGCAGCACAGCCCCGACTCCAGCCTGGGTGAGGAAACAGATCCTGCTGAAAGTTTGAGCTCCGCTGTGGATGAGAGCTTTGACTCGGCGACCTCTGATATCCTCTAATCTTTTTTCTGTGATTGACAGATGAAAGCCTCGGCCTGAACTGTGACCCGAGCCGCCTCGTGAGACCTCCAGTGGAAACTCATACTTGGACGCTGACAGGCGTACACTTTCAAACACACACACAGACGGTGGGTTTGTGCGTTCCTGTTGGACCACATCTGCGGCCTCTTTAGTTGTTTTTTTTTTTCAACCAGAGTGTATTATTCCAGACTAATCAATCACTGTGGTCTCCTTTTACACTTTCATTAATATTTCAGGATTCTCTCACTAATACGAAGATAAAAGAGCTCCTGCTTTTCCACCAGTGTGCAATCTGTGTCGAAATAATGTTAACTTTTATAAACCTCTTTGAATCTGTTGATCAGTCCAGTCAAGTTTGCACTTAACCAGCTCTAAACTTTTTTAACTGAGTCCATTTTGGATTTTGGAACTATATATATA